CAGGTGGGTTACAAGTGACTGTGTCACCCCTCCCTATATATGCTTACAGGCAGGGGAGGCCAAACCCTACACATACATTTCTCTTTGCTTCACAATTTGGCAACCGTGAAGTTTGAGGCATTTCACTCAAGTGAGTCACGGTTTGAATACAGCACTGTGCCAAAGAAGTGTTGGATTGGAGTGCGTAGAGCGTGAGGTGACATGTTTAGCTGGTATAAGGGATACAGGAGATACTCCTGTAATGAGTGCTTTGTGAGATAATGGTATGCACGAGCCCCCCCCCACCCCCCCACTGTGTTTCCTCACTCAGCTCCAGAGGCCCAGAACAATGCCGAAACATGTCACGTAGACGAGCTGGGGAGGCATGCGGCGCTCGAGGAGGGGTTGGTGGAGTGCGTTGGCGATGTAATCCTGATTCCTGATCCTGACTCCCGATACATGGCACATGATTGTTTTGTATTGAAAAGAACTCTTAAGTACTCCTGACAGGCGTGGAACTGGTGATCAAAACACTTGCCCACTTGTATCTCCCATATACACAGTATGTTAAAGTCCAGGGTCACACGTCTGTCTTAAATATTAAAAAGCGCATTGGTTATTCAAACAAGCGCCATATGTTCCTCCAAAAATATCTTTGCTTTTAGATGGAATGAAATTACAGATCTTTTGGAAATAACATGTTTCATTTGGTACCATAACAACAGTTATGTTAACCTCAATGATACGGCAGTCTGATTAGAAAAATAAAATGGAATTCTAGACCTCATGTGAAAAAAAAGCTTTGCCGACCCTTCGTATAGACCGAGGCGCACTGCAACTAACAGCTGTGGCTGCCCGTGACGGCATTTCCTTGGATATTCTCTCACATACTGTGTCTTTATTTCCAGCGGTCAAGGTCCCATTGCAGCGCCCACCATGGATAAATGCTGCTTTTGTCAAGAGTTTTCACCCTCTGAGCAGCTGTCCACAATCCCTCCGGCAGTCTTCTGCTCAGCAACCCCAAGCAAGTGCATGTCGGCTGTCAGGGCAGAAAGAAATTCATTCAAGATGAGGGACAGTTTTCATTATAGTGAACAGCCAACTTTAGATATGTTGGAAAAAAATGTTTTCTCTCAAGATGCCCCTTTATGCAATGGATTAAAACAAGACACACCTTTGTGCCGTGTTTACATAATGCATACCTCATTGGAATCTGGCTCTGATGCATTTCAGAACATTTCACAATTCCTGGTAATACAATGACTCATTGATGCTTTCTGGATGTGCCCAAAAATTGGTTTCTAGTCACACAAAGCTGTTAACTTTCGAATATAACGTGGCCAACAGCACAAACCCCCGATATTCAGCGCCTGGATGGAATTCACCTTTGCGTTGCATATTCTTCCAATCAAATGAAAAAACAAGTTTGACCACCAAGAAATTCAACTTTGTTGTATAAATTTGGGATTTTCCACCAAACGCATAGGATCTTTCAAAAACAAAACAATTATATAACAACATATATAATAACAACAATAATAATATTCAGCTGCATGAGTAAAGCCTGTATATTTCTTCCAATCAAAAGAAAGGAAGTAGAAATGTGTTGACCTAAAACACGGCTCTTAGTGGCTGCAGATGCCACGAAGCCAGGCAGCGTTTCACTAATAAGGCCTTGACTATTACCTGGACTGACAACCAGAGAATGGGAGGACCGAGGCCTGGCTCCACGCTGCTCAGTCAGCCAGAAAGCCTCCGGGCGGCAGGGCTAACGCAGGTCAAGTGATTTGGCGCCTCGGGTGTATTAAAGCTATTTACAAGGGACTAAAGGATTTACGTTGCTTCACTCATTCAGTCTGTGCTTTTATACGACCTGGCACCGGGCTGCTTGAGTTTTCTCTCAATCAATACCAAAGGGTAATAAAGAATGTTGCCTTTAACTGGTGTTTGGCTTTTTGTTCAGCTTGCAGAGGGAAGGAGGTTTTTTATGGGTGGCTCCTGACGCCTGGTGAGAAGGCAAAGGTGTGAGATTACACGAGACTCCACGGCACACACACACACACACACACACACACACACACACACACACACACAAATGTGTGCATGTATATGCACACAAAATCTGTAACCAAAGTCTCAAGTCTGCAAGCATTTTTGAAACTCACTACTCAGCTTTTATACCATTTGTCTCTTTAGCTCAAAGGCTGCATCCTAAACATAGAATGAATGATGAAGTGAAACAGTTGTAATTTGTAATATTAAAGTTACAACAGTAACGTTGTTAAAATATATAAATGTCCATAAATAATGGCATGGAACTACAGTTTAGTATGTTATAAATAATGACCAATTATTAATATAATTATTGTAATTATATGAAACGATTAGGAGTCTAGTAGAATATATTAGTCTGAACAGTCAGGGCCTTCAAAGAAACGTTTACCCTCCATACGACTCTGTCAGGTTCATTTAAAAGAGGGACAATTGTTTATTACTAAAAGATGAAGGACTGAAAGTCTGAATGTTTTTTGCAGAAAGTTTGTATTGCTTCCTTCTTTTCCTCTTTCACCATCTAACAAGCCCTGAGATTTATCTTGTGACCGTTTGGAGCCTGGTTACCTGACTACATCTAAAACTTTTAGTCTATTAAAAATAGCTGCAAATAAAATATTGATGAACATTTAGTTAATAATACTTTTGTATGTTTAAAGATGATTTGAAATACAAAACCTGTAATACCATTTTTACAATAGTGTATTGTATTGTTTAATTTCGGAGCACTTCGTCCACTACAGTTCACCGCTGATGTTTTCCCATAAAGAGAGATGCTGCCATCCTGTGGTGATTTCTTCAAAGGAACCTTTTAGAGTAGTTTGTTAGTGAAGCTTGCCATCCCCACAGGACAGTTCTGTTTCCTGTCCCCTAAATAAATTGAATCAGTGTCCCACCCTGAAACTGTCTGAGCTACTGTTACACCCTTTTATTGTGCTGCAGCCTCGAGCTAAAAGGTTATGAGACTGCAGTATGCCAACATAATGAATCCTGAATGATGCTTTGCCCTTTGATCACATTACACTTCTCAATGGGGCAATTAAGCCCAGTAATTAATAATAGATTAAAAATCTATCTAGAGTGACAGGCAGTATAGGACACATGCTTCAAATCAATTTAGCAAAAAAGAGAAAAACAGGCTCGAAACTGTAATTACTTACGTGATCAATCAGGGACTATGATTGGAAAAAGAAAATCTCTTTCGGGCATTAGACCCTCCCTCCTTACCCGCTTTCTCGCCCCCTCCTTCCTACCACACACAGACACACACGCACACACCCATAAACACACGATTTAACAGCCAGGACTGTCAATGCTCTCGCCAGCCAGACAGACAATGTGTTCCAGATTAGATCAAACTACAGGTTACCCATTTTGATTTCTAAAAGCGGGCACGTGGCCCTTTGTTACCATGGCGACAGTCACAGTCTGGTCTGCTGTTTGCCGGCATAGAAATAGATGTTGTGGTTCAGGTCTGGACCATGAGACGATAGTGTCCAGCAGACAATCAAAGGAATGATTACACCTCGGCCATTGGGCCGCTGGAGTACCTGGCGCCGGCCCTCAATCAGATCGAATGATACGGAAGCTGGCAGCCCTGAACCCAAAACTTCTATTTGACTCTGCTATTTCCTCCCTGAAAAACAACCTCTACAGTGCAATCTGTTGTGACCAGGGTAGATAAATGGGTGAGGCTGGCGTTATCTAAAACCACATATAGGGGAAAAAGGTAGTGCATAAAGTAACAGCAAAAAGTTAGAAGAAAATGGTTTTGGACAAACAAGAGAGAATGAAAAAAGAAGAGACAAAATGGCCACAAAGAGACACAAAATCTTTAAGAAATGATGCTAATTGCTGGTCATTTTGTGTGTTTGGCTCCATGTAGGACAGGTGGATGGGTTTCTAATGCCGGCATATAATCATGTCTCTGGGCTACATGGAGTCAATAAAATAAATATCCAACCGCCCCTGGGTTGAAGAGTGAAGAGTGTGATCGCCCATGTAATCAAACCCTCGTGCACCACTGGCCAGACACTGAGCGTAATCTACAGCACACGCCATTCACGTGCATCAGAGAAAAGCAATCTCCTTCCATGCAGCAATGTGGTGAAACTGACCAATTCTAGCTGTCAGTGTGGGAGGGGGCTTTATGTTGGAAACCAACGAGGCCGATCAGCCGTGGGTACCGGTGAAGCCACGTGCGTGACTCTTGTTTAATGGAAACAATTCTACGTTGCAAATGATTTGTGCAGAAAAGTGCAGATTGGAACAAGTTTAACAGTTTTATTTTCCATGAAGACACATTTTCCATAGAGGGACATTTATTTACTTTTTCTAGTGTTAAGTTGTTGATGATCTCTTCATCTTTTTGTGTATGTTGTTTGTACTCTCTTGACCCCATCAACAGCAAGGGAAACGCTTTGACTTGGTTACTTTATCATTAAACTCCCTAACGTACAGCTTAAAGGACTGAGCGCTCTGATGGGAAATCATCGGCTCTTTGTCAGACATGCTCACCTTCGACCTTTTTATACAGAACCACCACAGCAGCTTTACCAGAGAGAGGTGGGTAAGGTTGAAGCACATGATACCAAACACAATCTCACTGTACGACCTGGGATTGTTAAACTTTATACTGTAAATTGTCCAAAATAACACACTCCCACTGACCCGGACCCATTCAATACTCTTCTCTACCTGTCCACTAGAAGCCTAGACCTTTGCCTGACTTCTTCTCCACCTGCTCACCAATAAATCCCTGAACTGCTGCTGTCAGCTCTTTGGTCTTCCTTTGAGCCCTCCTCACTGTGGTGCCTGTACTGACCGGCCTTGACAGGCACCATAACTAATTCAATTACAGTATCCAGACTGTATCCCCGCAGTTATTGAGTCCATTTGAACTTTGTTAGAAGTGCACACACGCACAGGGTTGAGTGGAGCCTGCACATTCACTTTTTGAGAACGTAGAGGGGTAAGAGGAACAAGGCTCCTCCCTGAGAGTTTGCAAAAACATTCCAGGAAAGTGAGAGCGGTCAAAGAATTGGGAACTCTCATAGCGGCCCCTCACACGGCCGCTATCCTTTTCTGGTCTCAGCACGTGTAGTTATACTGTACGTGTCGTGTTCACCGGTTGTTTGGATCTCCGAAGACAGTTATCGGAGGGCGAACCTGAAGCAGCATTCAAACTCTGGATAAACCAAGAAACTCAGCCGTCCCCACTGATCGGCTCAAAAATGAAGCCGGCGTTTGTCCTCCTCGTTTCGGCTGCCTGGAGTTTCACTGGAGCTCAGCATTACTACCAGGGGCTGATGGATTATCTGGACAATAGGCTGTTGGCTATCGAGGTAAGAAGCATTACCTCTTTAAATTACTGACAGTTCCAAGTTGGGTGGCAGAAAAGATATCCCTGAATCAAAATGGTATTTCATTGCCTAAAAGGAACTATTTTCCTTGGTGTCGTTGTTGCATACTAGAAAATATTTACAAAAACTATAAAAGTGTATTCCATGGTTCAAATAGCCGGAAATTACAATTAAAACTGGATTAGAGACACTCTATTTTCACCGTAAATTAACGGTATTTTACTGGCAACAAGGACGCCAGGAATTTACCGTTATTTTACGGTATAATTCCGTAAATGATTTTTACACTATGTTACCACTATGTTAAAATGGGTTACTGTATGTCACCGTAAACTTGAACGAATTTTACTGTGAATTAACTGCAATTTACTGGCAGTCGACGCTAGTAACTTACTGTTTTATTTACAGTGCCCTACCGTAATTTATGGTATGATGTCAGCACAAGGTTGGCGGTTCGAATCCTGGCTGCTCCCTGTGCCAAGTTAAAGTGTCCTTGAGCAAGACACCTAACCCCCAATTACTCCACATAAATTATGTCAAACCATGGGCGTTTTGGATAAAAGTGACAGCTGCATAGTAATGTCCTGTAAGTCAAAGTCATCATGAGATACTCATATCTCATTATGATGACTTACAGTACCTGTTTTTCAGTGGCTGACATGGGCTTCCATACATTAACCTGCAACAGATGTAGATGGATTGTGATTCACTGCACTTGTATGTGTATTTCCAGCACTTCATAAAATATATGTAACATGCAGTTGAATTACGGTAGTCTGCTATTATTGTAAATTGACAGGTTTAACTGTTTATTCATGACATTGGCCGTTAATTTACAAGCAAGGGATGGAAATTTAACCATATGTTACAGTTATTATGACATACTGTAAAATACCGTTTGAAATGCACCGTAAATTTACAGCAATTTGTTACAGTGGAACATTTTACAACATACTGTTATTTTGCAAACGTTCACAGTATTAAGTGTAAAGGATACGTCCAAGAAAATGTTCTGAACAAATATCCATTACGCATATAAATACTGATACAAGTTAATATATGTTCCGGTCTAGCTCACTCTTAATTAATGCAGCCCAATTAATGCAATCTGCCTAGCTCATCAACTCTGCAGCGGCCAGCGAGGGAACATGCGTCGCTGCAGCTTCTGTCCAGCAGCATTAGCTTCTTCAGTGTTTTAAGACAATGACACATCGGTAATGAGAACAAGCTCAACCATTACTGAAATGCTGTGAGACATTCCAACTTCCTACTAGAAAGACGTGCTCTGCAAAGCTCGGACGTTGTGTTACAACAAAGGGGCCTCAGGGGAAGGAATCCAATTGCTGAGAGTTCAGTATTGTTTTTTAAAGGGAGCGTATGAGATGTCAAAGTGTGTGTAAGACATTTGTTGGCTTACGATGCGAAATGCAAGAGGATTACATGTCTGTGGGAAATTTCAGTGATTTCTCATTTAAATAATTATTTTTAAATGAATGAATGTTTTCTTTTGGCACAGATTTTCAGAGTCTTCTTTTCATTCGCCATTCGGCTGCAATGCAAGAGAATCACAATCTTACAGCTGTTATCCGCGTGAAATAAATAGTTTATTCACGGCTAAATCCTGCTCTCTTAAACCCTGTGTGGTTTCCCTCAGTTTCATTCTGCATTGATATGAACACGGCATTTCATCAAATAAGTTTTCATTGAATTTTCATTTCTGTTTGACCACAGGCCCACAGCAAACAAAGGAGGAACATCGATCTGTTGTGGAGGAGACAGTGGGCAAGGCCGTCTCTTATTAAATCTAGGCCTAAATATTTTTTTTGTTATGTCAAACACTCTGTATTCCATTTGGTGATAGGGATTTCTTTTAGGATAAACTACATCTTCTGGGGAAGTTGAAATATTCCTCTGAACTGCTGATAACCTTGGAAAGGTCTCTGTGAGGGTCAGAGTTCATCCCCTGGTAATCATAAAGACGTTTCTAGACCATTCAAACTTCAACTTTGGAACGGCAATTTGGGTTCTAATCAATGTATCTCAAATACAAGATGGATTTTTTGTACAGAAATGCATGTTCCCCAGAGGATACATCCTACTTATTTGGTTATCCTCTTACTTTTCCTTTAGTGTCAGCACGTTGACTTTCAATTAAACAACTCAACGGCTACATTGACTCTTGTTGACTTGGAATATGACTACTTTATTTCTTGTACAGCACTATTTTGGGGTTTAAATTAGAATCAACCTGCGTGTGAGTGTGGTAGGGCAGGGTCGCACTTCCATCGGAGGTTTTCAAAGTATGCACCCTTGGGCAAGAATGATGACACGTGTTAAGCGGAAGACTAGAATAAAGCTAGATAAGTCCGGTCCAGTTACCATTCAAACTAATATTTGGGTTTTATTCAAAGGTGAAAAAAAACTACTGACTTAACTATCAGCCTGCAAAATTAGAAAACGTTAGAATGCTCAAACACCAAAATAAGATGATGAACACAGTTCCAGCCAAATCCTGTTAGCATTGCCATTGTGACTATTAGCATGCTGATACTATAATTTAGCTCAAAGCGCCAAGCTGGAAGACCAGCAACCATCCCCATATACCTTTTACTGTTGGCCAGGACAGCTGGTAGAAAGAGAGAAAACCTCAACTTTCATTTTTAATTCACTAATTCACTTTTTAATCTTGCTCTGTTCTTGTCTGGCAGGACCGCATGCAGCTGTGGCACGAGCAATCCCACCGCTACCACACGGAGCTGTTGGATTTCAAAAAGCTGACCGATGAGGCCATGGTGGGTCTGAGAAATCACCACAAGGTGATGTTCAAAGACCTGGAAGGAGCTGCACTCCTAGTGGACCGGGTGGAGCAAGACATGGACTACGTGGAAACCCAGACTTCCCCCCGGGCCTGTGCCACTCAGGCGGACAAGGTGGTCGAGCAGGGCGCCTGGAGGCTGGAGGAGAGCAGAGGAGAGGAAGAGGAGGAAGACGACTGGGTGGAGCTGCGCTCCGAAGTCTCTGGTGAGCTGCAGGGAAGTACATTCACAGTTATGCCCAACACACTCAGCGGGGCGGCTGTGTTTGATCTTTTTATTTCCATTCATGACCGAGCCCCGGCACAGTCAGAACCTTTGGAATATATATTATCTTTGTAAACTGTACTTTTAAGTGTGTTCACAGAAAAGCTTTAAACTAGCATTTGTGCAGAGTCGCTTTGGGAAGTAAGAGACACACACAGAGGCGTTACAAGTCATTTAACGGAGTGCTTTCGATCGGTGGGCAGAATGTTTTCCAGGCTTGATGCAACTCATTTATTTCAGCAAATTTGCTCGCCTACATGCACCGTTTGATAACAGCATTCGTCTCTTCATATTCTCCAGATCCCAGGCTGCTGCACACAATGCTCTCTACAAAACAGGGACTTGAAACCCTTTTTAAAGCGTGATATGGAAAGTTGTGAAGCATCATTTTTTTTCATTCCACAAAAATACACTTTGTATTGTCAGGTTGTAATGAATGTCCACATTAGAGGCTCTGCATAGGATGTTCAAAGCATTGATGTAGCACCAAACTGCTTTTTGCCATCTAAACAAATGATTCCTGAGTCCTCCTCCTTTATTTCCGTTTATACGGACTCTTTTTGCAAAAGCAAATATAGATTTAATCATTATTTACACCAATTTAAGACAACCAATAGCACACAACTTGAAGAATTATGCAGTAATATCATGAACATTCTGCTAAGAATCATAATCCCAGTCACGCTGTACAGAACCAAGGGGCTGTCCCCTCGTTCAAAGTGGGTGATGGCGCAATGCAGAGCAACGGCTTCTCAAATAGTTTCTGTGCAATGCGGAGCCGCGTCTCTGCAGAGGCACAGGAAGCCGCCCTCAGGTCAGCGCTGTTACTCTCCGAGCTCGTGTTCGCGTTGAACAAAGTGAACCATTGTAAATGTCTGCCAAGTGACCCAAACGAACTTTACTGCATTGACCCATTTCAAAGTAAAATGTTAATTTAGCTCCAAGATACATTGTTTGTGATGTTTAGTGAATGGATTGTAGTACTCTCCCCTTTTTACAGGGAGCCTCTTTATGCTGTTTTTGTGCTGCACTCATTCCTCCTCTCATTACGTGTAAGTCTGTGTGTCCAATTCCCCCTGGCTGTTCTTTTGCCTTAATTGGAGAGACAGATATTGACTGCTGCAGGCTGCTTGATGTTTCCCAAATGTTACAAAAGGTTGCAAATACACAATTTACCGAAATGTCCTGATGGAACTAATTTGCCAACTGGAAAAAAGAAATCAAAATGATTACAATCATATCAACTTCACACCTCAGAAATATATTTCTCAGAAATATATTTCTTATACATATATATATATATATATATATATATATATATATATCTTATATTCTAACGATTTTCCAAATAGAATAACAAAATGAGTCTGATGTGCAACGTCTGCATGTTATAAGTTCTCCCCAGTTATTTTCTCTTAAAAGGTTTCATATCCTGAGATATTTCTCCATCATATTTAACATTTATCAGTGAATAAACAAGTTAGGTACAACATTTATTATAAGATCTTGATGGTCAGTGCCATGGCAACATGGGCTTTCAACCACACTGTCATTGCATATTGATTCAAAAATAGCCGAGCGCATTGCAGGGACTGCTTTCAACTAACTCAAACGCAGACTCATCCATTCCCTAATTATACGGTTGGAGCGACTCACTAATATGAACAGCCAAAATTACCACCCTGAAAGATGGACGGGTCAAACTAAATAGAGCACTTCTGTCCGGTAAACTATTCATGACCTTTGCAAAACTAAAAGCAAAGGTTATTAATTTGTCAATGTAGTTGTTAGTGCCATTTCTAAGCCATATTAGTCACATGACGAATCACTGGACACGTCAAAAAGCCGTTGAGAGGTTTTGGAAATGCTCCCAATCTTGTATAAGAACCTTTTAAAGGGCTGAAACGTCAACCACTTGTTACTATTAGCAATATGGTGCTAATAGTACACATCTATGTATACATACTGTATTCATGACCATTTAGCTTCATCATTCATGTCTGACTTAATAATGGAGAGCTTGATAGCTGCAGCAAATACAGCAAAATAAACAGAAGCACAACAATACTCTCTTTTTGTTTCCTGTCATTGCAGACTGTGTGGAAATCATCTCTGGCATCAGATCAGTGAAGATCCTGAAGAGAGTGGGCGGTCCCAAGGGCATGTGGACCAGAGACCCCAAGTCGTCCAAGGTTTACGTCTTCAACGGGACATCGGGGGACAACATCTACCAATTCAACTCCGTGCAAGATTTTTCCCGCTCACCCGGCGTCGCCAGCAGCCGACAGATCAGACTTCCCTCCGATTGGAGAGGTCCCGGCAGCGCTGTCTTTGGCGGCCACCTGTACTACATACAGCAGGAGGACGACGCGGACGTGCAGGTGGTCAGGTATGACCTGCTGAGCGGCTCGGTGACCGACGTCGCCATGTTCCCCGCGGAGAGTCGGGCCGCTGTCTACGGCCTCAACTCGGAAACCGTGGCTGACCTGGCGGCGGACGACCAAGGCCTCTGGCTGCTGTACGCGGCCGGTGACGGAGAGCCGAACATCCACCTGGCGAGGATGGAGCTGGCCTCGCTCGACATCGAGCAGACCTGGGACACCCGGTGCCCGAGGGAGAACGCGGAGGCGGCCTTCGTGGTCTGCGGGACCGTCTACGTAGTCTACAACACGCGCCCGGCCAGCCGGTCCCGGATCCAGTGCCTTTTCGACGTCAACGACATGGTCAGCAGCGAGGAGGCCCCCCTGATCTACTTTCCCAGGAGGTACGGGGCCCACGCCAGTCTGAAATACAACCCGGAGGAAGAGCAGCTCTACGCCTGGGACGACGGCTACCAAATCATTTACAGACTGACCATGAAGAGGAAACTCCTGGTGTGACAGCAGGAAGCGGAGTGACGTTTTCAGAGGTTGTGAGAAAGAATTCACTCGTGCTACGCTATAAGTCTTTGAATAGCGCGCACACTCTACATACGGGATAGATTTAAGAGGGGGTCCCAATAGCAACGGCCTTTTTCAAGCAAAATAAACAGCCTTTGAACTGTTATTTATTCATTTTATTCTCTTCTTTTGTGTTTTTGTATTCGAAAAGAAACATACAAATGCCACTTTTGCAGAGGCTGTGAAATCGTACCGCTACGAGATGTTTTGTGTGTCCGTCCCCGATGTAATTTGACCATTTGATCCAGACGAAAACCAATTTACGAGGTGCCTCCTCCTGCTTGTTAAGCCACTGGCTGCGTTGTCATTATACGCTGTTTTCCCTTCCCCCGAAACTCACAGTATGGACTCCATTTTTGCATAAGTAATTTAATCAAAGAAAATAAATTATTTCACAAAACTGATAACACAAAAAACAACAAGAACAAACCGCTGTTGATTTTCAGACTTGTTCAAACAAAATAAATAAACAATTTATCAATAAAATAATGTCTGATATTAGTAGACTTTTAGTAGACTTTTTTTTACACATTGGGTCACTCATATGGAAATTCTAGATAATGATCTATGAACTCATAATAGACTTTAACCAACAAGTGTTAATGTCGGTTACCAGCACATTTTCTCAAACATCTCTATTATTACAAATACAAAATGTTCAATAAAAAATTTGAAATTCAGTGCTACCATAACAGTTGGAAGGGATACAAGATTATATCAAGAAACATTACAATATTAGGCAAAGCTAGCAGGTCTTAAAAGACTCCATAAACTGAGGCAATTGATTTAACAGGTTTGATCTACTATGAAAATACACCACATTTCCAATGAATTATAAAGCACATGTTTAAAATACTTCAACACCAAAATAAGATATAGAAAATCTACCAATAATGCCATTAGGGATGAATTTCACAATCAAAATAACTGTGTGAATGAGAGTTCATTTTAAACTGTGGTGGATGGGCGTCTATGCTACATTGTCAAGCATGAACAATAATGCACTGACTCATTCGCTCTGTAACAAGTGCCAATTAGAGAAATGCCACAGCTCTGTAGACGCTGACCCGTCCAACCATCAGCTGCCCCCGCACTGTCGTCCCACAAACACACACACACACACACACACTGAGGTGCTACACAGCTCTCTCTGAGTGCACTTACTCGTGGAGGATATAGTAAAAACAGATCCGACTGGGTCTGTTGAACACATCTGCTCGTGTCTTTGTGTCTGACCCCGAATTTTGAAAACTCTGTGATATATAGCGTGTTCATTGTACAGCAGTTTGAACTGTGATATCACTTGTGCTCTGCCACTGACTGAGGCGCCAGAAGTCTGGGCGAAGAATATTCTCACATGTCAAATTTGAGTACTGACGGTGTTCAGTAAATGGGCCTCGCTCCGGGATTGTTTCATACGTCAGTTTTCCTACACGAAATCACATTTGATCCCGTTCCTTAAGGATTCCCGGCACAAATGTACTGATGCTCGCCAATTGCAGAAAAATTTAACTACTAATACTGGAGAGTCAAAAGGAGAAAAATCCTGTAAATAGATACCAAACAAGAATGTTTTATTCTCATTGAAAAGATATGAAGCCACCATTATGTAATATTTTAATTAAAAGCTATTGACGTATTCATCTAAGCAGATTATAAAACAGTTATCCTAACCGAGGTTTTTTGCATATTGAATCTTACTAAATCTTATAATTATTGTAAAGAGAGCAAACAATATGCAGGGACCAAATATGGGAATTAGTCTGGTGCAAAGATATCAGTGGTGCTTTAGTCTTTTTCTTCATCACATCAAACATCTACAAAATAAATTAAAACAAACGTTCTCCCTCTACAACAGTGTGATAAGTGACATAAACATCCAGAAGGTTGCATGTTTTGAAGTCCAAAAGACGAGTTATTCTCAATCATCCCCACCACCAAAGCTAAATATATTCAAAATGGAAATCTTCTTTTTTTAATCACAAACTTCTAATCATATATATATTTTTTTCTTCTTAGAAAAACAAAACGTACATACGTTTACCGGCAGACGGCTGTACATGAAACTATAGACATCCATCAAAACCTGTCAGAACGAGAAGATAGAGAAAGAAGCGCTTTTGAACAGTATTTGTCTGAAGGAAAACATGAGTGCCTACGAGTTTCCATTTGGAAGAAAAGCGTGGGATCGCTCCAAAGCAAACATTAAATAGAGAAGGAGGTAAGGGTGTCTTAAGTGTGCTCACAAGTTCCCTGTTCCCTGTACAGAGCTCCATTGACAAAAAGCAAGATTTTTGTCAATGTTCCCTTTTCTTTTCAGTTCAAGTTTATTCACCATTTGTGCCTTTAAACTTTAACACCTCTACACTGCAGTCAACTTGCTCTCATGCGAGTACCAATAATCCTGTCAAACCTTCTTCCTGACATACAATTTATTCTCTTGGCTGCTTGCAAAATTAGAATATTTTAGTTTCTGCTGCTCCAACCTCTTCTAGATGAGCCGCGGAACAGATAATTGCTCATGTCATGATGACACTGGAAGTACAGCGAGCTCACTCGGCGCATTGAAATTCATTTCAGTTTTGCTATTCATAAACACAAACGACAATTGGAGTGGTTTCCCTTCTAATAGTTTTGCGAATGCTACAGTTTTTTTTCCAATACAGCACTTTTCAATTCAATGAGGGAAAGTTGGTTTGAAATTGCTTCAGATATTTTTCCACCCCAGATGTTGCTGCATCTTTGAAGCTTCTGCTGTGAAACCTCTGCTGCTCTCCTGGAGCCAAATCTGACGTCCAGGTCTTCCAACAGAAAGTCTCTGCTGCACAAAGCTAAATCTTCAGCGTCCAACAAGTCTCCATGTGACACTAAGACTCGTGCAACTCAGCTTGGACAGCTCAATTCGAAATGTCTGCAGACTGGACGTCCAGCCAATCTCTTCCGAGGACAACGAGGGCAGCTCTGGTTCATCTCAACGCCCCCACATTTCAAACCCTAAAGACCCCCAAAAAGACTGCACTTAGCACAACTAACTGACTTGACGGTGGTCCTGGATCAGTTCTTGGGAGTGCTCTGGGACGAGACTTGGAGGGAGGGGAGGGACTGTGGGGAGGTGGGGGGACAGTGGGAGAGACAGAGAGTGACAGCGGGGTTGTGTTCTGCTCAATCGGACAGACGGGAAGCGGATCAGCGGGAGGGAGGAAACCCCCCCCTTCTGGGGTGCCGGGTCACAGGTGGCCCCGCTCAGGGACTAGCAGGGGGCCTGGGTGAAGGGCAGGAGCCTTGGCTGTCAAAGCTGGCCGTCCTCGCCTTCCACTGCAGGACACAGAGACACAGAGAAGTGATTCACGATGCGCGTGCTGCTTCTGTCATTTTTAGATTTGCTTGACAAAAAATATTGTACATTGTTTTTTTCCCCTTTTTGCATTGAATGTTCCGGATACAGGGGTAAAGTATAATAATACACTCCAAAAATATCACAAAAGAGACTGAAAGCACTCAAAGAAAAAACAAAGACTGGATAATTAATATGTTGACAAGGTTCCCCGCATTACATCTCAATTCGCTTTCTTGGGTTTTTATCAAAAACAAAATAAACATGGATATCAAAAATAGCCCACAAAAGTAGTGGATCTTAATATAAGTGCAAAGAGAATAAATAAGTAAACAAATGAAATAGAAATAAATAAACCCATAAAGCATCATGGATGTAAACAGGATGTATTAAGTTCTCGTGGAGCATACCCATTGAACCGTGGGCTCCAACAATTGATAACTTTAACCACATGTTGTTTACACTGTACAATGGATGTTTAATGAATGGTAAACTACACAACTATAAATATCATATCTGTTTTTTTGATTTAACTAAATTATAAGTGAGGAAAATCCATATTTTTCTTTTGACGCGACAACCTCAATTGGCGCCCCTGAGCTGTCCGCCATTGTTGCTGCTGCCTCTGTTGACCGTTGACGTACAGAAGAGTCGCTTTGAAAATGACCCACCTCCTTCTCGGACTTCTTGGACTCCAGCAGGGGGTGCCAGTGCGCAATGGGCTTGCGCGGATAAGCCAGCATTTCGTTCCAGTGGTCCCTGCCGAGTCCCTCGGCGTGGCAGCCAACTCTCATCACACCGATGATCTCATTATGACCTACCCTGTGGGGACACACGCGCGCGAACTGTATGAATACATCTGACTTAACCCGACGAGACATCTCATCCATCAAATTGTTGTTTTTCTCCCCTCTAATGGCGAGAAGGGCATTTTTTTTTACAACAAAAGGAGAACACAGTTCCAAGTGTGTCCGTCCTGCCCATTTGATGCAGTGAACCTGCAGCTGACTGCGTCTGTGACACTAGAATTGAATCGTCGTGGGAAGGAGTTGTTTGGCGGGTTAACAATGCCCGAAGTGTAATTGCAATCCCCTGTCATTGGCTCAGTCGTATTTAATCCTGGCGTGAAAGGCAAGAAAACACAAAAGGCTGGGTTTCTAAACAGACTGTTTTCCTCCTGTACTGCAGAATAATGAAAAAGAAACGACTGACCTTTAACATGCATGCCCCCCTTTAGTCAGCTGTCTGCACTGCATGCACGTCTTCCATTTTCTCGATTTGCTGTTATAGCTTCACGTACTAAAACGGTTTCGTGGTGGACTACTCTAATGAACAACTACTCTAATTTGAAAATGAGGAATAATCAATTGTTTGTCATTAACGATCCCCTACAAGCTTCATTAAGTCACTTCCAATGATATTTCGGGTCTATGTTTTTTTTTTACTCACGCAACGTTTTAGGATCTAGTAATGTGCAAATTTTGTTTAAAGGCGTTTCAAGGCACAATGACATTTGTCGCTTGCGGTTTGAAAGCACAGCATTCAAAGTGAGCTCCTCCTCCCAAAATGGAACTTTGTCAACATGCGCCACCATTTTCAGCTGCGTGTATTAGAATACATTTCTAACATTGCATTTCGTCAATGATCGGTTTCAAATGAGATGTTTGTTTTGTACGTACAAGTCGTAGTCCATGACAGAGATGTGCAGGCTGACGTGGTCCATACTATCTGGAGGGATGTCAAAGATGATGGCCTCATTGTAGGTGGGATTCAGAGTGTTCTTTTTTATGCTCGTCTTCTTCTTTTTCAAACGTCTCCCGTCACATATGAGCGATACCTTGACGTAGGGATCTAATGGGGGGGGGAGAGGAAGGATATAAATTAATCATCTTGTTTTCAACTTGTGTTGAAGGTTGAATAGAAAACTCCCAGAAACTGAGGTTTTACAAATGTTTGCCTTGACTGCCAAAATATCTTCAAAGATGTCTGAGGAGATAGAGCTGTCAGTGGCGTATTTCATCACCCCGTGGGAGTGCGTTTTGCATGAAAGCAACCATGAAGGACCTGGCGTCGGTAATGCGCATAAAAGTACGCGAGTCAACGGCTTGTGTCGACACAGAGGGCGAGAGGACATGGAGAGCGTAGCCAGCATGGCTGATGAAGCGTCCTGATCAATGCTGATTTCGTCCGTCAGTAACCAATTGCCTCGCGTGATCCATTATGCCACATTTTAGTCTGATGTTTGCCTCCCGAGATCAATAAAACAGCAAACTTGGAGCGCTTGCTTTTACAGCCCAACATGCTGAAAGGGACAATTTGATAGCTGCGAGGTTTGCAATGTACGGATTCAGATAATGGCCGACAGCCGAACCGCTCAAAACCCAAGATTAAAATTGGGTCCCTAATTTAAATCGTCATGGAACACGTAAACAATTTACAGGTGATATCAGTATTGTCGGAGAACCTATTTGCTGACAATGGCTTGATATCGCAAGTTCTGAATATTAATAACTGCAGAAATGAACAGCGACCTGCTGTAGAGGCTGTTTCTTCACATTATCTGACACTTGCATTCAATTAATTCATGTTGAGCCACTGCAGCTGTGAGTGAAGCACACGGATGCACGCAAAAGCTCATCCCGGTGAATATACACACACAAACACACCTGAGTATCCAGTGATGTCCATGGCCTTGAGGTTCCTGCACTTGATGACAGTAAGTGTGAGTCTGCCTGCGGTGGGCAGGTAGCACAGTGAGAACATGATCTCTCCGAGGTCAACACTTTCCTGTGAAGAACACACAAGCAAAGGATCTTTCAATTTCAAGTACCTTTGGTAGTACACTCGATTTTCACTCGAAGTAGGATTGTTGTAACTCTTGGGCACAGAGAAATTGAGGATCGGTGGTGGAAGTAACCACATATTACACGGTTTAGCAATGTTACAGAACACTGCAGTGGGGAGGTTCTGCATTTAAACTCTATTAGCATTGACATACACCTAAATTACCAAAATAAGTGGTACTCATTCTGCAGTAAGCTGTACCTTAATGAATTCAAACAGCAAAGATTAACAAAGAAATAACAACATAAAGATTATTAAATCGCAAAAACAATCTAAGGTGGCCTCTTGTTACCAAGAAACAGAGAGCACAGACTACACACACACAGGTGTCTCAAGCAGAATAATACAACGTTCGCTATCAGTTTTGGGCTTCAAAAATAACTGCAATATGAATTTGTTGTTGAGTAACTGCTGCTTTGTTTTTAGATCAGGCACAGAAGAGAGTCGGGGGTGTTGTGAGTTTGTGTTGAAAGCAGCCGATTTATAATTTCTGTTCTGAAGCACGGCGCTGCAACCTCAAGGAACTTGTTTTGCTGTCATTTTATTACCCAGGACAATAGAAATCATATGGTAATTTCGCATGAAATGCACTTCCTCTGCAGGGATTTGGATTGACACCACTCTGATTGCTTGTGTGTTATATGGAGAAATCACTCCGGTCAAATACATTTTTCCGCAGTAAGGTGGGAGAGCTAAGAAATATGAATATATATATATATATATACGATGTAACATCAGTTATTTTTAGTGGTGCTAAAATCACAATTAGTACATTTTTTCTTGTCAAAAGTAAATGATTCAAGTTTTTATTTACAATAAGAAAAACATTCATCAAAAGAGCAGAAATGTTCTATTTGGTCTCAGCCGGCTGGGGGGGGCTTGTCAGTGTCGGGGTTTGATTGACAGCAGCCAGCAGGCGGCTGGAGAACCAGTGTTACAGCCCGGGGAACAAGTTGTCCGTGGTATTTCAGACTGACGGCCACACCAGCATTTAAAAGCGCCAAATGGACATTTGAATGTGCGCGTACGTGCTATTTAATAACGTGTTGTTGCCGAGCAGCTAATTAGCGGTCTAGCCTGCAGATTGACTTCAGTATGGAACTGTGTTGTACGAGAAGGAGACTAATGTGTGTTATTGTTGAAAGTCTGTGTCCCTTGTCCTGTGTCACCGGCTGCTGTGCGGCACAGTGTGACCTTCTGCTCTGCGCGTCATAGAACCAAGATGTCACTGCTTTCGACAAGGTTGTACCGGCTGCATCATAAGTTCTTCTAATGTTAAATTATGAGGTGGCATCCTGAAACCCCAAAAAAATGAAAGTGAATTTTCTCCCTTTGGTCTCTGCTGTTTTCTCTCAAGCAGACACACAAATTTAATTTAATTTCTGTTTTCACTTTGATCATTGAGGGAGCCAGGATAGCTGTTTATTAAACGGCTTCAATTAGAGCCGTTGAGGATGCTCTGGTGTTAGTGTCTCCTCGAAAACAAATTGGTTTAATTCAGAATTTCTGGCTGACCTCCCGAGCAGCTCTTTTACCAGACAAGGAATAAAAAGGAAATCAAATTTAAAGCTCAGCACATCAAATTATACAACCGACATAATCCACAAAACCGATGATGGAATGAGACCTTCTTTACCGAGAATTAAATCAAGAAGATCCCTCATGTAAAAAGGTTTTACATACTCAAAAATTACTTTTGAGACAAGCCACCACCTGCCAACACAGATTCTAGCTCAGGCAGCACTGCACGAGTCCTGCTATCTGTAAAATGTGGGTTTTTAGCCCCGTCCTTTGAACAGAATTAAAGTCACGCGGACCTTTTAATCACTATGACTAAACTTGGCGAGAACCCGACTGACTGGCAAATTCCAGCACGTCTGTCTGAGCGCTGCAGTGTTAACGTCTCCTCGCGCACACAAGCTGCCGCTCGGCTTCCTCGGCCTTGTGAAGTGAGGGATTTCGTCGGAAGGGTGTGAAAGTTCAGCCAGAATGTGAGAGCGCGGCAGAAATGTCAACTGTTGTAAAAGTTCGAAGAGACGCTTTAATTGTCCTTGTGGAAACACAGGCTGTTTCTGTGCCCGTCCTTATCCTCTGAAGGTGCATTAATCCTAGTTTAGCCACGCTAGCAGCGAAGTTCCAAAGATGTTAGTCTGTTGGTCGTCAGGCCGATACATCACTTTAATCTAGCCTGAAATACCAATATCTCTAATAATATAAAAAAACAATTTGGACGGACACTGCTGGTCCCCAGAGGATGAAGTATGCTGATTCACGCTTCCTCACAGCGCCAAATTTATCCAGTGAAATAATCTTACAGATGGACTGCCGACACATTTCCTGGACATCTTGGATAGCTTGACCCGAAATTTGGTGCTTGGACGATAATGACCCCTCTGGATGAGTTGTAACACATTTTGTGACACGTTGAGGAAACTTCAAGCCCCATCATCAAGTCAAGATATATATTTTATCCAATGTTTGGGTTTATAATGTGATTGCTTGCAAATTGATATTCCCGTCAGACTCTGCTGTACTTGGTGTTTGGTCTAATTAGCCAATGTTAGCAAGCATCATCATTTTTTACTGGAATGGACTGCGAGGCAATTTGGTAGGGACATTAATTTCCCTCTTATGTTAAGTTATTTAAATTCAAAGTTATCTCCTGACTTTTTATCTTGCACCAACGTGAGGTCAAAGTTTAAGTTTGTACAAAACTGCACGAGGAGTTTAGTGCTAATTAGCAAATGTTAACATTTTCACACACCAAGACAGTAACAATTAATCTGCTAAACATCTGCATGTTAGTAACGTGACTTTAGAGTTCTAGTGGTCATTTATTTAATTATTCACTGAATATATTCCCTTATTTCATTGCTTTATTTAATTATACACTACGGATGCCTTTTTACCACATTTTGGTTTCCTGGGCTTCTGAATGGTATATTATCTCCTCCATTCAAGCCCGTGGTTAGTATGTTCAAACCTTCCCCAAATGTATAATTATCAAACATGCATGAGCATGAGTTCAAAAAGTAAAATGCTCCTCCGGACTATTTTTCTTATTAATGCTAAGTCGGTGATATTGATGATTATTTCTCCTTGATCTGAGGAAAGCTTCTGGTTTCTCTCATTCACCATCTCTCCTTCCACTCACTGACTGAGTTGTTTAAGCACCATTTTTCCGCAAGATTTCCATATCATTCCCCTTCATGTTTCTTTTTCTTAGTTTTTTTGTTTCTAAACTTGCCATCTGTGCATCCTTTATGTTGCCAATCTTGACTTGATTTAACGTGGGCAGGGGATTCTGTCATAAAATCATTTGGGGGTTCAATAAAGTTTGTGTGCCAAGGAGAGAGCGATCCGCTTTTCTGCCTCCTGAGCAATAATGTTGATATTATTGAACAACCCTTGAAGAGGCTCAAGTTCAAAAACTGGAGGAGGGGAAACACTCAGATGAAAGGGCTCCGTGGAGGTGATAAAGGGATGAGGGGCTGTTCAGGACATCACTAACAGAACCAAAATAATTGCATGAGTGATCTTTAAGTGAGAAACATCCTTTTGTGTTGAAGATGCTTTCCGATCTTGAATACAGCCAGTCCCCTTTTGTATTTTAAAGTGACAGTTTTGTTGACTAAGCTCTCTTATGCACATTACAGTGCTCCAGCCCGGATTGAAATTACCCCAATGCCCCCCTTCAAGCCCTCTGAAAATATTGGTCGGACAAATAAGGTCTCTCTTTTATGTTATTTGAATATTATGTAATAAATTCATTGTTAAATCATAATTTTTGAAATAATCTAATCAAAAAGCTGAAATGCTGCAAAGCGAGAGGAATCTAAGCTGCAAGCCTCAAGCAACCCACCAGCAGCCAGCCTACATGCACAGTAACTTCTGTTTCGTCCTGTGACATCCCGGATAAAGTCATTCAAACAAGATGGCCGCGTCTTCAACAAACAAAACCAAAGGCAGCATTATTTTGTGCGATTCTATAACGAATAAAACGTGAGCTCTAGAAAGCTCATTTTTAAGTCCCAGGACGCTCGGTTGAAATTGCATTTCTCGCCACAAGTTGTAAAGTACTTGTGGTGGCCGCGGTTTGGCTCGGCTGCGGTGGGGGGGGTCGCTGCGGGAACTATACCAGCTGGAGGCGTAATTGGCCTCAGCTGCAGCAGGTTAGGTTAATTGTGTGTCTCCCCTTTGAAAACCACAGTGGTGATCCAGCGGGGGAAGAAGTTGGATGGAGAAACGCAGATGAGAAGCCAGATGTATTGTGTGACAATAAAGAAAGTATTCCCAAAACGCGAGAATTGTTTTCCTACCAGTATTAAACAACTTCCAGTGGTCCTTGTGCTCAAAAGTTTCTTTGGTCTTGTTGTTAAAAATGTAGCTCCCATATATTGCAATGCATACAGTGAAATTGAACTCACCAGACTATATGAGATACATTCAAATGAATCTAGAAGAAATGAAAAAGGGGCAATAAATTCTTACGCTGGTGGCATATTGGATGTCCCTCCATACGTTCGTCTCCCTGGAGAGGTCCGATGTCTCAAACAAGTTGTCCAGCACCACCTCCCCGATCATGTCGTGCCTCGAAAACCTGTCAAAGTCAAAGACGCTCATGTGGAGCTTCCTGACCGCGAGCTCGTCGTAAGGCACCGGGAACTGGAAGCTCTCGTCAAATGAGGGGTTGAGCGTCTTCCGGTGGACGCGAGTCTGGAACTTCTTGCGGTCGGGCAGCAGGTAGACCTTCACGTAAGGGTCAGACGTGCCGCACAGGTCCTTGGCAGGTAGGTCCGCCGCCTTGAGGATGTTGACTATGAGGGCCTCGTTTTCATAGTCGTACTTGAGAGAGATGTTGATCCTGCCGCAGTTTTTGCTGCTGCTGTTCTTGGATGAATCCTCTGATTCCACGGCCTTCTGTTGGTAGAGCTCTGGCTGGATGCGGCCGATGCTGGTCGACGTTTCGTCGTTGTCGACCATGTAATCGTTGCCCAAGTCGAGACTGCCTACCTGCATCTGTCGGGGCAGGTGCCTTTTGAATGAATTGTGCCTGCAGGGACAGAAAAGTAAGGAGTAACTGACAAGGGAATGATTTGTGGGATGTTTTGAGAGAGCTGTAGGGAACATGAGCAGGAAGACTCTGGAGTCAGAGGTTTTGTATTTAGCGGAGGGAGGTTTCGAAAGCAAATGTCCAGACACACCAAGCTGACCTCCAAAAGCCAGCACTGAGAATGGGCCCTAGCAAAGGTAAAATTCAAGCAAAGGGTAACGAGTAGTTCAGTTTCTAGCAAGTTTAAAAGAAAGTAGTGGCCTGGTTTATATTTCTTCTTTTGAATGTATGAAATCTAGGGTGCTATTCTTATGCCTCTGATTTTGCATCAGACACTGTTAAATAGTGAATGAATTTATTTAGGTATTGTCTGGTCTATTGTATAATAAATGGGGAAATAACAACAAAAGCTATGAGTTAAACACAGAAAGTCAAGATAAAACTGCCCTAATTGTAGGTTGTGTGAAATACTGGTATCTCTCTATTTATATATTCAATTGACTAAATGTATTTTGTGCCTGATTATATACAAATGTACTGGGAGAGATTTGCGTATTTTTCCTTCATTGCATGCTAGACGAATGGACCTATTTATAACACATCAATTAGTGTCATTTGTCCTTAGCATGTTCTACACACAACCACATCACACAGTCTCACACGCGTGTCTACGAACTGACCGAGTGGAGGACGCCGGCTCCGTGGTTTGCCTCTGCATGCGTTGCGTGCGCCGCAGGAAGTGCTCCCTCATGGAGAGCTGCACCTCGGCGGGGATGTCGGGAGACGTGCGGCTTATCTTCACCGCTGCCTCCAGGAAGCCCATCGAAACCATGGGCTCTTTCACCTTCTCCGTCGCCATGGTGACCGGTGGCTGCTGGGGGCTGGGCAGACAGGGAGGCGTCTGGAACGGGCAGTCCTCTAGGTCGCGGGCCGGCGCGGGCGGGGGACCGGGCAGACGGGCCTTAGCTCGCCGAGACGCACGGCACAGCTTCCAAGAGACGAATGTAAGGAGGCCCAGCAGAGCCAGGCCGCAGAACGCAAACACAAAGACGAGGAGGCCAAAAGAAGCGCCTGGCGGGGACCCGAAAATGAGGGTCATACAATATGGACAACAGATGGTCAACAAAGCAAAAGAGAGAGAGAGAGAGAGAGAGAGAGGGAGGGAGTCTATTAGGACATGGTTCCACCGGTGCTATATTGGTCGTTTTTATTTAAGACTAAGGACAGCGAGACACAAGTATAATGGAAGATGTGTTTCATAAATATTTAAGTAACCTCTGTTAGAATCCGGTTCAGCCCAGGAGTAAGGAAATCCTATTCATGTGCGGGATTGAAATGGGACTACGCACTGATGCGCAAAGAGGGTTTTCTGTGACAATAAAAAGTAATTATTGTGACAAATACTTAGAACATAAAACACATTTGTGATTTCGTTTTGCTAACAAATACACAAAGGTGTCAGGCATCTTCCCTTATGGATTTTTGACAATAAAAAAGATTGAGGCACAGGCAATCTTATTTATAGTCCAGCATTTTGGATTAGCTTCTTGGGGGGAAAAGGCAGCATACAAAGACCTGGAAACTCACTAAGGATGCTGACAAGCGCCCTTCACAGGCACCATAAAGCAAATGCAAAAAACACACAGTCCTGTATCTCTGGGTTTTGCATTTGGGGACACCTGCCAAACCTGCTCCTGTTCTTGATTTAAAATCCTTGTATTTCCCCAGCTGATACTAGCAACATTTTACACGCTTCTCGACCGGGATTCAATTCAATTTTTCTGATTATTTCTCTTCCAAGGGGCCTGATTGCTCGAATGTATCTACAATAACTCCCACTGAGCAGCGTCTGTGGCCTCTCAGAGGATCCTCTGCCTCCCGTCTGCACAGAACACTCCAGAGAGAGATGTAGAAAGCTGCCTGAAGGCACATTGAATTAGGTATTTTCTAATATTTACTTGGCTCAAGCTTCCCTCAGTTCAGCAAAATATGAGCATCGACCGGCCCTGAAACCTGCAGGCGGAGTACAGAAGAACACGTGTGCATAGGACACGTGATTCCTTACATATTTGTAAAAGTATTACAATCCCCCTTTGGTGAAGGTCAGATCACAACAGTGGTATAATGCTCCATTAGTTCAAAAGCCTCCATTCAAAGTCCAAAATGTATTAGCAGTGGAAATATTTACACTATTCTAGCAGAATGAATGTAATTATTGTACTATTGTGTTACATTTGATTTAGCAATTTATGGCAACCAGTTGCTTTAAGATGAGAAATGTTATTTAAGAGAATTAATCCCCCAAAATCAAACCGTAAAAGTAAGCTTATGAAATACAACAGATTGCTTAAAATCAGATCAGTAGTTTTGGCTTATTAAACTTAACCAAAAAGCAGGGTCTTGTTTAGGTCCCTTGTCCTATTTCAGATGTACTTTACCAACAATAATTTATAGTTATAGTTCGATGCTTTAGTCTCTAAAGTATGGATCATCAAAATATTATTTGGAACTACATTCAAACCAAATCCACCGAAAGCAATTCATAGCTTAGCCGAGCGGTGGACAGGATTTCATGTCTGCAGGATTTATGCCTGAGGAGGATTTCTCGGCTGTCCACGGCCCCGGCGGCCTCTCCGTGTCATCTGATATTTCACACAGCTCCCCACAAAGCTTCATCTCCACCGGACTGTCCCCTCGCACAGTCTTCATCTGTCCGTCACGGCAAATGGAAGCAGATCCTGCGCCGTGGTACTGAAATACGCGTGAACGTCGGTGGTGACAGTCTACAACAATCGATTGACTTTGGCTTGAATGTCTTTTGACGCTGTAGTGGCTCCAAGTGAAGATCCGCTGAAGGAGTATTTTTTCAGTTTGTCCTCCATAAGAGATTCAAAACAATTATTTGTCATACTTGTATTTGTTAGATGCTTTAAATTATGGAACCCTCTTAGTTTTTGTTACATACCGAAGGAAACTTTAAAATGTGGGGAATCTAAGTCACAACTAGCATCTTTTTGATTATTGCTTAATAGATTTATGATTTACATAAACAACATTTACAATGAACATTTACATTTACATTTACAATGAAAATAGTATTGATTTCCCCAAAAAGAGCCCACATGTTGGATCTAAAATGATGAGTGTGTTCCGATTTGATTCAGCATGTTAGCTGTGCAACAAACGGACTCAAAAGGGTTTTTTAAATTTCCATAATTCCGTTTCACTTTCATCTGCTGCAGCGTCAACTGCTGATTTCACATCTTCATTTTTCATTTGGCTGAAGCTTTTATCCAAAGCGACTTATAATACGTGCGTTGAACCGAGAGGGCACAGACCCAGAACAACAAGAATGAAGAAAGTACAATTTCTGCTAGAAAACACAAGAAAGTGCTATAATTAAGTCTAGGTGCAGTCGGTAGAAGTGTGTTTCTAGTAAGCGTCGGAATCAAGCGGTCCTGATTGTGTTGCTAAACGGGCCAAACTACAGTCCCCAAATTCCTGTTGATTCCCCTCCAGCAGTATTTCTGTGTGAACCTCACAGTCTTAAAACCCGTTCACCAACGCAGCACTAGAATTAGTGTGAGCATCTCTTTTGTCATAATTGAATAAAGTATAAAAAGAAGTATAAACTGGGCTTTGTCCTTCTACCATGTCATGGTTTCTAAGATAACACCTGTTGTCATCCAGCTAGCTGGGCGTGATGAGATTAATGAGAGAACTCCAGCGCCGCGATGCCTCCAGCACAGGAGGAAGAAATAGAGGTGTTAATTTCACAGTGTCTTTCTTACCTCCTCTTGTTGAAAAGGAGAGTTATAGTGTATGCAGAGAGCTAATGATGCAGGTGAGACGGCAAGCGAGAGGCATTCATTTAGGAGGAACAGGGAGTTGTTGGGAAGCCGTTGTTCTCATCCAGACGGATGGGTAATGGAGCAGAGCTGTGTGAACGTATTACTCCCCCCGGATCCGACAGCGTGAGACCAGACTGACCCTCAGGGTTTAGCACGCGTTTAATGATCACACCCACGCCACGCAGGAGTGTGGACTACCACAGTCCTTCACTCAATCAAAAGGGGTTATTTTCGGGAGCCTTTTCATGTCAAAAGGCTCTTTCACAATCTATTTTTCCGAGGCTGACTCAAGGTCCCCCCTGCAAAGCTCCTCCAGGTGGGTTCTACGGCCGGGCGCAAAGGGCGAGGAAGTGAGCCACCGCTTTCTGAAAGGGGGGGGTTGCAATTCGTTTTATTTTTTTAAGAAAGGGGAAAAAGTCCAGGCGTTGACCTCTGAGCTGGAGGATTTGCGTGGATGCAGGAATCCTGCAGGCTTACGCACAAACCACAACCGGGTGGCTGCAGCCTCTCCGACTGCCACTTTGCATGTTTCAGATGTCTCTCCATTCGATTCAGTTATGAAGTTGCTTATTCGTGCGGCTAGTCTCAGCACAACGGGGCTCGGCTCGACATTATCAGGTGTTTCTCAGGGTGCACAAATTGAATCATGTTTTTTTTCAAAGAGCAGAGTGAAGCCTGGGGACTTTTCTTTTCGTTTTTTTTTTTCGTCGTGTGCATTAAGTCTAACGAGGTTTCCATAGTAACCTGGTCATTAGAGAGGATATGCACTCTCTCTGTTGGCTTTTATGAATTGATTTATCTTTGGTGGAAATAGACTATTGCACTGAAGATGGTTCATAGAGATGTCAAAATGCTGTTTGTGTTGACGCAACCACACAGGCAGTGGTTTCATTGTCATATACTTTACACTTTAGACCAGAGGGTTATTTATATGGTCTTTTTTATGTGGTTGATTTTTTTTCAGTCAATCATGACCTTAAATCCTATGAGGGGTACTCAACAAATATTCAGATCCAGACAAAACAGGAAATCTATCAAACAAAGTATGTCATAAAAAGGTAGACGATTGCTAAAAGGTTGTTTAGTTTACAGTTGGCTGACCATTAAAGTCCAGACCATAAAGAAAGGGCTTTTAAAGGGCTTGCGCCTGGATTACATTGTGCCTGAATGAGGGGATAAATTATTAGAGAAATAAAAAGGAAATCATGAAATACAATAATACTGAGATACATTAGATGGGAAGTTAAGAGAAAAATAAATTGAAGTCACTGACTAAAACGAAAGAGGGTACTAGAAAGAAAGTTGAGCCTGAGACTATAAGCAACTGACAGCAAGCAATTTAATTCAAAACTGTCAATGGTGGAGCTGAACCTAACGTTGGACAGGCGGCTTGTCCAGAGCCCCGCGGCCGCGGCACAAGTCATGAGTCATGAGTCTTGAGTGAAGGACAGAGGGGGGATGTGGTGAGGATGACCAGAGCTCCCCGAGGGCAGAATACGGGTGACAAATCACTAGTACAACGTGGGGGACAATTCCATTCAAGGCTGTAAAAAATGAACGACGCATTTTTAAAATCAACTCTGTAGTTCACTGGTGACCGATGCAGGCGAGCCCGAACAGCAGCGTGTGTGCGGCCTTTTCTTTGTTTCACTTAACACTCAGCGGCAGATTGAATTTGAAACCATTTGGAGGTGAGAATGTAGGCATGAGTCAAGTAATCACGCCGCGAGGTGATGAACACATTGTCGACTCTTTCCAGGTCCTGAGTCCAATGCTGTTGTGAGCAGCACTTTTACATCCATGGCTTCAGTGCTCAAGAAGACAATTTTAAACTCAATTTAGCTAATTTGCCGACAGGGCCCAAGAGGGCTGCGCTGTTGACAGAGGCTGGGAAGGCCACGTGTTACTGCTTTATGTTATTCCAACGATAGATGGTTACTTTATGTTTCTAATTAATGACAATTAAAGAGTGCTCCGACACGATCATAACAAAGACTGAAAACCGCCAATTGTGGGAACGAAAAAGGCTTCAAAAATAAAATGTCTAATGGTGAGAGACCTTTCAACCAAGTCGGTTGGCGTTAGCATTAGCTTTTGCTGGCTAGCTTCAGCAGACAGAATCAGTTGTCGTTGTATTTTATGTAACATAAAAGTGTTACCGTTATTTGAGGATTTATCAAAATTGTCGCAATGGATGAGCCTTTCCATACAGCCGTTGAC